CTGGTAGCGTTGCTTAGGTTTTTTTTAAACACATACTTAGTACAGATACATACATATATAGATACATATGTATGATCTTCGTAGTTTTTGATTTTCTCTATGATCTACCTTCCCTAGTGGGTCAGCAAACTAAATTTCCATAGCCAACATATTTTCAATGTAAATATCACAAATGCTCAGTGGGAAAAGGTAATGTTTAGGAAAGCAAAAAGTAATGGATAGATCCTATAACCTACGCACGAACGGATGCAATAATTTCTCTACAGTGCTGTCATACGAAAGTGTGTTGCATGTCGCTTTACGAAACTATAAATAGAGTATATAAATAGAATTAAAAAAAGTAAAGTCCGTGCCACAGGGTTTTAACCCGTGACCAACAACACGGCAATCGAACACGCATCCAATCGGCTACAGCAGCTGTTGAGATAACGTGAAAAAAAAATACTTGAGTTCTCAACCTTTTTGTTTTGCTTGTGGCTTCAAAACTACACATCATTCGCTCGCTTACATTGCGCTTTTCGTTCACCCGAAGTTGTTTATTTTTTCTTGGTAGGGAAAGGTAATGCATTCCCATTTTCCCACTGGGTGCTTCTCTTTCTATATACATCAGGGTTGGGCACACTGCACTAAATCGATATTTTCACTACCACTAGGGCTTCAATGGTAGTGCATTTCAAATTTTACTACCACTATATGGTTGGTGGTTTGACTCTTAAATCCTGCCTTGAGGGTCATTACAATGCACTGCTGTTATCAGTCTAGGGCTGCAGAAAAGCACGCTCGTGCCTTATCTCCTAGTTGTGAAACCTGTCAATATTTTCTAATTTTATGGAAACCTATTTGCCCCTTATTTCTTAATTGCTCCGAAAAGGGCAAACAGGTGGTGCCTTTGACATAGAAGAACTCACAGGGAAGTCCCTCCACTAGATCAAGTTGAGATTAAAAACGAAACAGCGAGGCTTAACCGGCACCTAACAGGTGGGGTGTAAAAAAGCCCAACATCGTAATTTTGTCAGCGCCCATTCTAACTTCAGTCCAATTGTAGACCGTATCTAAGTGGCTTTAATAAATAACGCGAGATACGCTTTTATTGCTAGCCATTCAAAAACATAATATTTTTTAAAATACTAAAGAAATTTTAGTGGAAATCGTGGTACCAACGAATAAAGGATTTTACTCCAATGGGGCTTGTCACGCTCCACCTGTCGATAGGGCGCTTTTCTAACAAATTCTGAAGTAGGGCGTTCTTGAAACGTTTTCTGGGATAGGGCGTTTTCGAACCAGCTGCCGAGATAAGTCGATCTTCTACTCAGCAGTTGATATGTGTACACTTACAGCGAGATTTATAAAAAAAAAATAAGGAAGGCTTTATAGATGGAAAATTTGTATGAAAATATCACTTTATCGAAGCTCTTCAAATCTATTTAACTTTTTTAAAGTAAGGCCACAAATCCTTAATATTCCGATTAAAAAAATATAATAAAAAAAAAAATTTTAGTTATAATAAATTTTTTTTTTTTTGTAAGAGAATGCTATTTGCGATTATTTTCAGATATGAGGTTTTGAACCTGAAATCTTTTTCTATTAACATGCCAAGCACATCACCAATCCTCCAGAGTGACCGCTTGTATGCATAAAACTGCGCAAATAAAGTCATAAAACGGCTGTAAAGATAAGGAGATATGTGTGAGTGAGTTCAACACAGATCATCTTAGCGCAATGAGCCAATCCAACTTAATCCAGACTCTTCGGATGTGCGCTTTGATTGCGAAGATAAAAACGCCGACACTTTGGCTGAGCGTAGCACTTGCAAAGGCATGGCGGGCAACTTGCGCATTGAAGCAACATTGAAGCAGAGTCATAATGAGCGAAAAATATGTACATATGTAAATAAATTTCACAGACCTTCCACTAAGGAATTCGTAAGAATTTGTTTATTTGACCACAATTTGTGTCAAGGGCAGCACTGGCAAAGGCAAACGAGTAGTTCGTAAATTAATTTAGCTGAAGATGTTTGTGCTTTAAGCCTTTTTGCGCCTGCAGATCTTTATCGCTGATATCACAAAATGCGCCTGCTATCTCAAGCATAATAAAATTTTTGTAGCTTTTGTTGACATTTAAGGCATTTTATAGCAAGCACAGCCTGAGCGCTTTATTGGTTTGCGGTGTTGGCGGTTAGTACTTTTTCGTGTGACAGAATTAATAGCATTTTACTGAAATCATATTTGCAGTGTAATGTTTTTTAGTATTTTTATTTAATTTTCTCTCACATATTTGTTCACTTAATTATCGCCTGCAATGGTGAAAAAAATGGGATGCTTTAAGGCGTAAGTCGTAATAAATCACAATTCATTTTCAGACTGGGTGTGACTTTGATTATTAAAACACAAATTTTAAATACAATATTTGCAAATTGCATTACAATCGCTTGGAGAGAAAAAGCATAAAACAAAAAAAATATTTTAATAGATTTTTGGTTTTGTCGGCTGCTTTCATGAGTCCAGCGAACCTGCTGCTGCATTGTTGGGTAGGTGGCACTTTTCGCAACCGAAAATAAATAAACAACTTTTCATAGAATAAGCGAGTTTTTGAATGTCAAGGTCAATGCGTTATTTCTCCAGCGCAGTCGTCAATTGATCATAATTTAACGCCTCCAGTCAAGCAATTACTTATTAGCACATTTGCAGCCTGATTTTTCGTGAAGAAATTTAAATTAGATATGCAATCAAATATGACTGTAAACTTTAAGTAAAAGCTTTAAAATCTCTAATTCACACCTACTAACATATCGACGACTGGGTGGAAGAACGACCTACATGTCTCGACAGCCAGGTCGAAAACACTCTATCTCAGAAAATGGCTCAATAATAAGTTCTCAGATAGGGTGTTCTTCAACCAAATTCTGAAACAGGGTATTCTTGAAAAACACTCGGCCGTCGATATGTTGGTACTTTCCTGCCCTTAGTAACTTCGATTTTTCGGTGCTCTTGCGAATGAAATATAGCTCGGCAAGAATCGTTGATATATTTTGTTTCCTTTTTAAAAGTATTTTAGCTATTTAATTTTTATTTTCTTTTAATGCTTTATCTACAAGGCACCAGAATGGAAGGAAGGTATTTTAAATTGTAAACAAACATGTTTGTTGTAACTATTTACGTATGTACATATACGAATACATATGTACATGCAATAAATTCAATTTGAGTATTTGATTAATTACTTTTCATGAAAGTATTCTGTGTAAAATGCGTGTAAGTCCTTTTCGAAGCAACGCGGTGAGCGCAATGTAATGCCAACTATTTTAAGGTCAATTAAATATAATAAAGTGGAAAAAATTTACATGTACTACAGTGTGATTCAAGGGTGTTGCACATCTTTGACAGAAATTATTTGTAATATGTTAATGTAAATTTTTATTTTTTTTTTAGACAATTGGTACTATACAGGCCGTGGAAACCTTACCCAGTTGAACAACGTGTAAAAATGATCCCAACGTTGCATGAAAATGGTCGTTATGCAAAAAATAGATTTCGCGCATTGCAATGAGGCCACGCAGCGCACGAAACTATGGCACCATTGCCAACGAAGTTCCCAGGACGCATTATCTCGAGAAACAACGAGATCAAATGGCCGCCGAGATCTTGCGGTTAGACACCATTGGACTTCTTTCTCGAGGGCTAAATAAAAAGTATGGTGGATTCCAATAAAACGGGTTTTAAATGATATACAGTCCGAACTATGCCAAAAGATTATGTGTTGGGAAGGGGCTAGTGGTGGGCATATAATGGATATGTATTGCGTTTCATCCATAAACGCATACTTTATATGGTAGGAAATGCTCAACACCGTCTGCGAAAAAATTGTTAAAAATCACTACGAGTTTCCAGCGTCTTGAAATTTGCACTTTTACCTACTAAAATTTAATGTGCTATAAAACTGCATACCCTAAATTTTTTTTAAATTTTCAATAAAAAGTTTAAAATTTTTCGGTGTAGTTAAAAAGTTAAAGTTTGTTTAATTTTTATAAATTTTGTACGAGAGATGTGGAGTTTGAGATGTGGAGTTTTGTGCTGCTGGTTGTTTAATGTGCTAAACTTAAAAAAAAAATAACAACATGAAATAGATAAAAGAAAAACAGCTTAAACTGGTCAGAATATTACTTAACTTAATTAGCTGACTACAAAGGTATGTACCACGCCTTTGAAGCATTTTTCTTAAATCTACAACTCTCTGCCGACAAGCATATTCATAAGACTCTCCTTTGAGAACATGATTACCACATCATCCGAATAAGCCCGCACTTAGACTCAATATCCTTCTATCCACAATGTAGACACTTTTTTTACTTTAGTCAAACGTTATTAAGCGTTCTGTATATGACCAAGAAAGTAGCCGTAAGCTAAATTTAAGAATAGGACAAACATTCAAAGACCGTTCCTTACCTTGTGTTTACATTAGACAAAACAATTGAGAATATGTATGTATTAGTTGTCAAATTTTTGTGTAAAGTAGGCGACCAAACAATTATAAAGAAAATACACTTTTCAACAACCAGCGTTATTGTTGTTTGGCGTAAATTTCAGTCTTTGAAAAATTCTCCTATGTAAACCCCAGTTAGATAGCCGCTAGGAATGATTTTAAAATTTTGTATTTTGGAAAAAACTTTTGTCATTCTTTGATGAATCGTTGTTGGAAAAGTAAATAAATAGGTTGTAGATTAGATTCTGAAATATTATATGTACACTCAGAGAAAAATGGCATTGTAAAAACAAAAATAAAATCTTTATTTTTCTTATGCACTTTTTAAACGAGGCCATTTTCATTTTAAAAATGAAAAATTTTAAAACAAAGTTAAATATTTTTAAATTTAAAATGTTATTTTTAAAATAAAAATGTATTTTAGATTTTAAAATGTTTCATATGTGATTTAAAAATGCTGCATTTTCAATTTTAATACGCACATATTTGTTTTATAAATGTCATGAGTTTACAACTTTCAATACTTAAATCAAAAATGAAAAGCTTTACTTCCAATAGAAACGTCTTTATTTTAAGCATGCTCATAATTAAATGTATGGCCACGCTCATGCATGTGCAAGAAGAAGCAGTTGGCTGAGTCCAGTTATTCTTGTTTGCTGTCGGTTCGGACCGAAAAAGTAATTTCGTGTATTTCCTTTGATATTTTGTGAACAAAATGAATAACTCGTTGCAAATTGGAGATTATATTTATAATTTCGATAACGTTGAATCAGAAGAAGTGTGTGAAAATTTAGAAGGAGTGGTTGTTGCTACCACACCAGTTGTTGACAATGACGATGAGGAGAAGATGGTCGAGCTGCTAAAAGAATTCGAAATGGAGAATGTTTTGCCATTCCTAAAAGGTGAGAAACGACTTAATAAATTAATATTTTAATCAACTAAATTAATACTCTATTATATATCCGACCGCGATCTGCAGCTTCGCAGATAACTTTTAGAAGCCTTAAATTTCTTAGAGGTGCTGACCTAAAGGAAGCCATTCCGCCGCTGGGTCTACGTGTTGAGTTTAGAGAGAAATTATTCATGTGGAAGAAGAAAGAGGTATGTATATGTTATAAAACAAACTGCTTTAGGTCTCATAGTTTATTTTGCACATACATAGTTCGGAATAGATGATGAAACCATGTCAATGCCAAGCAAAGTAACTGAATGGTTACAAAAAAACAACTTTATGCCATCAAGTCAGTCATCTTCTTCGCCCCACTGTCTCAGTAAAGTAATTTCAATTAATTTTATTTTAAACTAAATTACATTATAATTATGTAAATATTACTTGAACAAGGATTTACCGAGTTTACTTCAACAAACGTGCAAGGGGAAATTAATCTTGGAATCCTACAAAAAGAACCAATATTTGACTAACGGGAACCGGGACGACCTCATAAGCATTGTCATTGACGAAGTTATTGCAAATGACATTATACTAAGAGGGAATGATTTTGTGAATTTGCTAGAGCAGATAATAAATCTCTTTCCAAACGAAAAGGGTGCCCGGGTAATCTATTTATTATGAAATTGTTAAAATATAGATACATTTTATTGTACTGCTTATTTTCCCCCCAAGGAATACTATTATATTCCGCGCAAGGGTAAAAAATGCCCTAGTGGAAAGCTGTACGGGAAATACGTCAATCAACGCAGTAAGAAAAGGAAGACAATATACCTTGAACAAAACACACCATCACCTGCTTCCACGAAAAATTACGAAGTTCCTGAAATTGATTTTACGATATGTAGAGCATTAAAAGCATCTCTCAGCAGAAGCATTGCCGATTGGAATGAAGTCAGAGATAAATGGCAAAATACATTTAATTTGCGACAGAATGACTTAAAGGAACTGACCAACATTGATTTTCTCCAAGCCTGACCCAAATATTCTAATTCGCGGGCTCCTGACTTGGTAACAATGAAATTACGTACTTAGCTCGCAGTTTTACTATACATTTACACATTACAGATAAAACTTGACTTCAATATCATGTACCATGACAAGGAGGATTGTTTGTATTCGAAATGGGAAATGTTTACGGAAAAAATTAAACGATTTTATGAAACTAATCTACACAACGATTTCTGCAAACAGCTCTTTTCTCTTGCTAAAGCTTCAACGAACAAAGGTAAATACAGATCAAGTGTAACAAAAAACTCCAAAATCAATCGGCTTTCGTTAATTTCTTAAATTTTGTTTAAAGATACGCAAGACTACATTCTTACAACGCTGCTGAATGGAGTTCTTCCACCTTCATCAAGGTTTCAAAGTTCCTGCGGAAAGCTAAGAAAGAAAGCAACAATAGCAGACTCGCAACAAAGCTTTGTTTTACGATTAACTTCAATCAACGATTACGAAAGGAAAATTACTGAGTTGATAAGTATGTACTATTCTGCAGGAATGACAATACAGCCTTTTATAATTGTGGAAGGAGTAGCTGAGGGTGATATAACAGGATTTTATATATATTTTGATAAAACATTGTATAAATTTGAGTCGTTTCTAGAATGCCTAGATATCTGTTTCAAAATCTTTCACACTCTTTGCCTAAAATATCCTCAGGCATGCGAAACTTCATGGGTTTTTTTACAACAGTTTTTTTTTGAAATTTATACTGAATATGACTGCAAGTCGGCAAATTTAACGTCTCTTTTGAATTTTATGACATATAAATAATTGCTTTAAAATGTTTATTTGCTTCAAGTGCCACAAAAAATTTGCAGAAATTGATACCTTAATATGTCATTTTAAAGTAGATCATAAGCTTAAATATTTCTAAGTTTACAAGTCAACCGTCTCTTTTATATTCTATAAATAATGGAAAAACATACGCAAAACCAAAATCTCTGTAAATATTGTATTTATTATGTATTTATTTTGTAACAAAATAATAGACACTCGGCTTTTTGGCAAGTTTTGACTATTCTGTTGTTTGACTAATATTCATTTATTTTTTTATAAAGGCTCATCCATAACAAAAACCATATAAATCCGAATTTAAACTTTGTACAAAAATTAGGAAAATTCAACAAAAACTCATTAAAATTTTCAACTTTTTAATAAGAGTTGCTAGAAAGACTTTTAGTATGCTAAATTTTAGTACAATAGAATTTTTCAGCAAATTCAGGCTTGCACATATTATATTAAAATTTAAAAGGCTATAAAAATGCATGCTAAACATTTTTCTGAAACTCTTATTAAAAAGTTGCAAATTTTCCTGAATTTTGTAAAAAGTTTTAAATTTGGCCATTTAACTTTTGCTATATGATTAGCTACAACTTTATAAAAAATAAATGAATATTACTCACACAACAGAATAATCAAAAGTGGTCAAAATGTCGAGTGTCTATTATTTTGACATAAGGAGGGCCGTAAATCCACTTTTTTTAAGACTTTTAATGGTTAATAGCAAAAATCTGTGCGAAAGATGAAAGGTTGCGGTCAATATCTTGGGTCGCACAATACTAAAGCTGTTTTTCGGCCCACCCCATGTATATGACCGTTTTTATAGGATTATTTTAGATTTAAGTTTTTATTTCTCATAATAAGTGTGTACCTACAAAATGTAATGCAAATTTGTACCTTGACTAATAATTTTTGTATGGCTTAAAAAAGGTGAATAAATAAAGAGTGGTGAATATAAAAAAACTAAAATGTTTCATTATTAAAACGAATACACACAGTCTTAATTTAACAATATAGGTATTTGATTTGATGTGAATCATATTTGAATTAAATATGAATATTTTTAAATCAAGCACATTTGTTATTTGAATTAACAAAAATCAAGCTTAAATCAAAAATGAAAATTGTTATATTAAAAATGAAAGTTTTCGATTCAAAATTTTATAGTGTTTAAAATAACGATGAAAAATATTTAAATTAAATATGTTTTTGCTTGATTTTACAATGTTATAACGCACATTTTTAAAGTAAAATTTTTCATATTTACCTCACTTTTAAATACGTTTTTGCTTCGTTTAAGCACGTTTTCATTGATTTTACAATGTTTTTTCCCTGAGTGTAGGTATTATTTTCAGTATCGGTTTGATGTTATACTCGTTTTCCAACCTAGCTTCATAGTATTTATAGAGCCATATTTTTATATATGCATCCTCCACTGTAGCGCACTGGAGAGCAATGAAGTGCATACTCTGCTACCTGTAACCGCAAAACACGTGCGCTTGCAGCGCTGCGCTGCACTTCGCGGTGAATTTTCAGTCTGATCAGCAGTAAGCCGCCTAAGCTGCAAATCAGTCGCATTTGTGACTTAGGAGTAAACGGAAGAAGTGCATGCAAACAGATAGACTTGGAAGAAAAAACTGCAGTAGAGTTACGAAATAATAGGCGAAGTTGAAGTGCGAAGTTTTGCTAAAATATCCACATACATACATACATATATATATGTATATACATGCTTAGAAGTGCAAAAAGTATTTTAACTGTCCAATTGCGACTAAAGTGAACTACATGTGGATGCTTACATTTTACGATTTAAAAATAATCTAATAATAATTTGTGTGAAGTTTGTGAAAAGTAATTTATACGTTTGTGAAACACTTACCTGTGCCATAAATAAAGTACATACGGCTTTGTGTTGTTTCCGAGGTGTCGCTTATAACCCACATTTCCGCCTCAACATCTAAAACAGTGCACTTTCTCACACACATACATACATACATAGGTAAGTCCAAATGTCACTCTATATGTATATACATTCTCCACTTGAATGGCGACACTATCAATTCATTAACGTTCAGTTCCCAGACTTCGTAATGACGCTGTTTGCCATCTATGTGTTTTTGTTTTCCTTTCTTTCGTTTTATTTTTTTCTGTTTGTTGTTTGCAATGCCAACCCACGCAAATTTGTTTGCATTTATCTAATGAATGCACATTTCACGCTTTGAAGGTAAACATGCAAATTGCTATAAAGAAAAGTTATAAACATTTAAGTGCAAAAGCAAGTATCTACACAAATTTTTTATGTAAAAACATCTATGTACATTAAGGTGCCTCACTCTACGTAAACTGTTTTTCCATCGGATTTTTTAACACACATTTGGGCATATTCACAGTCAAAATAGAGTCTATTCTAAAGTTAGTAGCAGCTCTTTGACATAATTTGCAATACAATATCCGTCATAAAAGCTCCAACTAACTATAGAGTCGAATTTTCTGACTATGAATATACTTTCGCCAAAATATTTCGGTACAATATCAATACTTGCGCGAGCTGGACCCATTTGAAAATATGTATCTACACTTCTAAGAATTAGTTTTTTATAAATAAAATTAGTTATTAAAAATATTTTTCCAAAGAGGTCACCTCAGATGATAGAAGAAGCTAAGTTCAAAAGGTCTGCATAAAAATGTTAAAAAATGTTATAAACGGAATAAAAATAATGCGATTTTTGGAGTCATTTTCAAATCGATGAAAATACCTGACGTAAATTCTAATATTCTTCCGAAATATTTTGGTGCTAGTCTTTAAATATAATAAATTATAATTCCGGTGCAAAAACCGCAACTGTTTTGTTGAGGTACCCTAATGTACATATCTATATTTTTGTGGAATCGATTACATATGTGCAATACACATAAATGTACATACATAAATATACTCATATATAGTAAAAAAAATATGTGCGCTTAATTTTGGATGTACTGAAGTGTTACAAAACTTAGGTTGTAATGCACATTACTCACGCATTATACAACTCAAACTTGATTTTCGAACATTTGATCCGTTTTCGTAATTTTTGTACTTTCATAATATAGTATGTATGTATGTGTAGTACACACACTTCATTAAACTGGTGACAAAAACACTGACATAAGTAAAAATATATATGAGGATTTGAGCGAGTGTAAACAGGTGAAAAGTTTACGTTCGATAAAACATGAGGACATCTGGCAACTGCTGGAATCAGTGAGCAGATCTGACCTACTCCTACTGTAGTGCTTAACGCTATGTTTGGCGTTGTGGCCGCAGTCCGTTCCATCGTCAGGCATAAAGGCACTTGGTAGTTTATGAAACCTTCGGATCCTTCTCTACACGCACCCCGATAAGGGATGAATTGAGACAGTGGCAGCAGAGAATTTTAATTACATTAACATTCTCTGGTGGCAGCCTCCAGATATAGGTTCAGTAAACAAATTCATTAGTGGGCCAAAAAAGGATGTTAGAGTACCAGGAACTCTAAAGTGGATGCTTTCGAATTAGTGCAGCGAGGTGAGTATAAAATAGGCAGTCCACTGTGTACGTCGGTCGGGGAATAGCTGCACTTTCTCTAGGTCCCTTATGATTACTTCCTAATCACGCTGATTTTGGTTTCGGGCACAGTCCCGTTGGCTTGTCAGCCTCGAAAAGTGTTTGAAAATAAGACAAGCCTCAAAATGTCTAAAAAAAATTTAGAAATGTTTTTTTTTTTAACCCAATCTGCAAGCATTAGCAATGTACTCGTAGGTACTACTTCTAGCAAGTGAGTGAAACCAGCACTAAAGTAACAGTAAAACGTACTTAGGCACCTGCAATAAAAAATTCGAAATAAAATTCAATACTAAGCAATAAATTTTGCAATTTATTGGCTATTTATAGTTGTAATCGATAGCATTTCATTATGATTGCTTACTACTATTGTTATTGCTTTCAGTATATTTACTTAAATGCAATAATTTTGTTACTACTGTAAAGGTTTTTTTTACATTTGATGCTTTTGTAGTTGTTGCATTTGTGGTTCACCGCAATCTCGTCCATGGCACATGTTGCCTTCAGCTCCAATTCAACAACTACTTAAATTCGCATGCAATCAATTTGCGGAAGAAGAATCCGATCGATGATGAGGTAATCGAGATGTTGAAAAATTTACGCGCGCGCA